AGTGCAGCACCAATCCACTCTTTTCCCTCCTCATTTGCAGGGCTGAGCTCTAGTGACCTAACTCAATCAACTTTTAGAGGGCATTTGGAGTTTACTGTGTGACAAACCTGAATTTTACCTGTATGCTCCAGTAGAGTGAAATCTGGCTGCATTGGCAAAGAATCCAGCAACTATGCATCTCAGAACAGGGTCTGGATCACCTGAAATGAAGAACATCACTAGTTATCCTACGAAGTTTGGAAGAAAGACCAAGAGCTTACACATGAGAAAATTAACTGCTTAGGCAACAAAATCAAAATTGCCAAATGGGGTGGAGGAGACTGGAGAAGGCTGGAGAAGATGGAAGCTTGCATGGCTTTTTGCCTGCAAAGGTCCCTGAACGTACAGCAGTGTGTATTTTTACAGGTCACACAGGGCTGCTGGGAGAAAAGGTGAGGGAGATAGACTTCCAACTGTGGAATGTCTCCTGTCGATGGAAAAGCAACTGGCCTGGAGTGGGGTTGGGAGAAAGATTTGGAGATTAAGATCAGCTGTAGGAGCTGTGTCAAACAGCCCCTATCTTTGCCATTCCTCTGCTCGAACTGGAAGCCTCCTGCAGCTGCTTTTTGTATTTTAAAAGAAAAACAAAACAGGTCAGAGCTGCATGCATCTGCCACCTAGTATGCAGTCTGGCCAAAGGATGTTCCTATTGGGGCAAACATTTACTGAGGGAGAAAACAGTGCTCTTCTAGTAACTGTTCAACATTTAATCATCAATTACATTTTCATCCTTTCTCCCAGAAGCCTGGGGCAGTGTACATGGCTTTGTCCTCCTCTGGTTCAGTGATTTTGTTTTAAAATACAATTTTCCTGAATTACTGGAGATATGGCAAGGTACACATACTTTAAAATTTAAAAAAATACACAAAAAGGTGAATAAAACATGAGTCCACTGGGCCCTTAAAGACTAACAAAATTTATTTCCGCATAAGCTGGAATGTAAATCCATCAGGCCAATTTATACAAACAAAAAGGTCGGGGGGCGGGCGGGGGGGGGGAAATGCTACAAAGAGAAGCAGGTTTAAAACAAGATCCAATCTAAAGAGTAATCTGTTCACTCAGAATGGGTGAGACATTCTCAACTGTTGTTAGATAGGCAACATGTAAACCTAGGTCAGAATGAAGTGAGATACGCAGATACAGCAGGAAGTTACAGAGGTGTAACTGAAGTATTTAAGGGGTGGGACATGCAAAGTATTAGCACCTACAGTGTGTGAGGAGCCCCGGATCTCTGCTAAACTGGGGCAGGGGGTGTTATTTTGAATGTTAATGAATTCTGATTCAGCAATTTTACATTGGATTATCCCTTTGAACTTCCTTTATAAGAGAGCCATAAAATTATGATGAACATTAAATTTTGACCTATGATAAGGGATCGAAATGCCATTCCTTCTTTGAGGCAATGCAGCAGCAGTAGCAAGCTGCATGATGAAGAGAAATACAGCAGCAAGCAAGATTACCTCCTCTAAGCTTTTGACATTTATGACGTCTGGAACCAAGAAATTTACAAGTGTAAATCATGCATGCTGGCAATAGCTTTGGTTATCATGCTACACAACTGATTGTCAAATGGGATGTCTTCAGTATGTTTTTGAGGACAACTCGCCATTTGGATTGTCTCTCTGCTGTAAGGTATTCGCTAATCAAACAGGAAGAGGCTTTTAAGAAAAGGAAAACACCAAAGAGGACTAAGGTGGATAAATAGCCAGTAATTTCAATCTGGCCTGAGAAACTGAGAAAACTATATCGGGGAGTAAGAGGCATAAACATATTCCATGACATAGAAAACTTCCATCATACTTTATACTGGCACTGTAAATACCCTAGACTTTCCTGAAAGAATTTTAAAAGAATGAGTGCAAAGAAACCCATTGTGAAGAAAAAGCTCAAATGGAAATTCTGGGTTCAATGTTTAACAAAGAGTAAGCACTAGGTGAGACATGGTCAAGAATTTGCTCCCATTGCTCCTACCTTCACTGGACTTTTTTGGTACTTTGAACTTGACAAGAAGTTTTTTCAGCTGTTCTCTCACAGTTGTGGCTCTGATAAGACCTTTGTAATTCAGGAAATGATCCTGACACCACTGAGGACTCTTGTTGTGCTGCAAATGATGAAAGAAAACCTTAGAATGAACTGACACTAATTTTTTTTTTTTAAGTCTACATTCACTTTACTTTCTGTTTCCCTAAACCTTGCTTGAGGCTAGCATTGCTGCTACGGAAAGTGGCATGTGTGTCTACAAATCATGAAGTGCAGAGATTTTTTTAAAAAAAGAACAGTCTCTCCTCAAACTATAACACACACACACTCACACAAAACGCCTGGATAAAGAGTGAAGCAAGTAAGTTGGTTGAGGAAGGTATACAAAGAGGTGACCCTTTATATGACTCAGGAAGTCTGCAATGGACAGAGCAAAGCAGATATCAGGGAACGGGGAATGAACATTTGAGTTGTAACGGAATGACTATGAAATGGAAATTCTGGGCTTTGAGGATTGGCAGCAGATGATCAAACGGAATGAGGAAGCAGAAAGTGAAAAAAAGGAAGGAGATAACATAAGCATTTAATGATAAGTAGGACAAGTTTAAATTCAGCATTATCCTGAAAAACTAAGTTGTAAACTATCAACAGCCATTTTGGATTGCCTAGACAATTCAGAACAACATCACTGAGGTCTCTGTTGTAAGATGGTGAGAGGAAAAGTGGAGAAGGCTGCAGCAAAGGTGGGGGAGCAACTAGGCAAAAGCAGGAACCAGAAAGGAGAGGAAACTGGAACCAAGGCGAGGAGGGGGCCAAAGAAGAAGGAAGAAGCAGAACTGAGTGGGAGAGGAGGCAGGCAGACAGACTGGAAAACCAAGCAAGGGCTGGAGAGAAAAAAGTGAGCAACTGTTGGGGGGGGGGGGAAGCAGAGCCAGGGGGGGGGGGGATTACGTTTCCACTTCCTCACAAGCCCTGCCCTTCTCACATACTTTAGCTTACTTTTATAAAGGCTTCATAGACATTCAGCATAGTGAGGTGGTCACCCTCCTCCACTGCAAACTTTCTGTGTTCTCTGATCTGGAAAAAAGAGAAACGCTTTCTTAAAATGTGAAAGGAACACACAAGTAAACGTTCCCTCCTTATAAGAACCACATATGTTTTTCTCTTGGCAATAGTCCTACAATATAACTTGAAATAGTCAAACATACAAACCAAAAATTCCCATGGTCAGCTACAGCTACTGTGCCACAGTGCAAATAAGCTCCTTATTGCATTACAATAAAACTTCCCATCATTGACCACAATGATATGTTTCATCTGACATTTCAAGGAGCAATCTCTTCAGTTATTAAATACCATCTTTTCCCAATCAACTCTCAGAAAAGTTGATCTACAGATTTCCTTCTTTCCCACACCCTAAAAGCAAATGTTATATTTAATTCTCACTCCACAAAGGAAACACATACTGTTTTACCTTTTACTATGCACAGACTGCATGACTAAAACACTTCTCACTGGTCATTAGCAAGCAGAAATTCAGCACTTTACTTTCCATGTAAAAGAGGCTGCAGAATTTGAAAGATGTTGATGGGAGGTATGAGAACTGCACTTACAGCTTGTGACTTTTGATTTGGAGGAATTGTAAAGATATTCTGGATCTGCATCATGGCTGCAATACTCAGAATCTCCTGGGAGCAACCAAAATTCCCTGCAATTTAAAAAAAATGGAAATAAAGAGTGTTCACTTTCATCCTGTCAATGTACCATTGCAATTAAGAAAACAATTCAGTCTTTACACTTTCCTAGTTAAGACAGTTACAACAGCTAATGAAGATATTGTTATACTACAAAGTGAGACCAGATATGAAAAATACCTACAGAACTTGTTGAACCTGAAAAAAAGGATAATGGTGATGAGCTTCTTAAAAGAAATAACTCTGTTTTCCTAACTGCTAATTTGTTGGTGCCACCACACTAGCATGCTACAATCTCCAATACTATGGGTGAGGAAATTTTGCCTCTCCTTTGAACTGAATTGTGAAATACAATTTAAGAATGTTTATTCTAGCAGCTGTTTTACAGATGACACAGGGACAATAAGGCACAGAACAGAACAGCAGCTATTTGGCGGACTATGTATTATTTAGCATGCATTCTGAATTTTCTGTTGAGAACTAAGAGTTGGACCCTGTGAATTGTTCAGCCTTCCTCCAACAGAAAGAATCTGGCCCTGCTTCTTCTGCCAAGGCAATGCAGAAAAGATTCACAGGATCCAACCGTATGAAACACAGTTGCCACCATAGTTGCCAAAAACAGGAACGCTGCTTGTAACTACCAACTGCATTGAGGATAGTCTGATTAGAACCAGTACCATCAGCCTTGGAGATATCCTTACACACCCTCAAACTGATCCTTACACACCCTCAAACACTTAACTGTTTTCAGTCCTTCTGATTTTAATACCACTAAATTGGGTTGAATTCAAAGGCACATTTGTTTATCTTGCCCTATCCCAAAAACTCAGGGTGCTCGCTCATAATAGCTTTGAAATAATAAGTCCTCCCTCCTTCACTGAATCCATTTTTATGTTGCCCTTCTTCCAAAGAAGTCTGGGTAGTTTACATGATGCTCTCTCATGTTGTTATCTTAAATAAGGTTAGGCTGAGAGAAAACGGCTGGCCTAAGGTCACCCAGGGAGCATCATGGCTGAGCAGGGATATGGACCCAGGTCTCACTGATCCTTGCCTGACACTTGAAACACCGCACCACGCTGACTCTCAGTTTGAATGCTGTTCCAAAGGTTCCCGGACCTTCAAAAGCAGCTTCTTTGTGGGTGCAAGTGTCTGCAGTGGTACAGAGGGACAGAAAAGCCCCAGAGCTCTCATGGATAGTCAAAAAATTGAATCCCAGCCTTGGCTAACAAGTAGTATAAAAGTTAGAGGTCTTTCTTTTTGACCTTATGGCTTGTAGAAGGATAGGAATGGAAGAGAAGGAAAGTAGCTGAGAGGAGCACCAAAATTGTTTTAATGAGGATGTAACTTAATATTTTGTATTGTTATTGTTTTATCTGGCAAATATGCCTTGTAAGCCGCCCTGAGCCTCCGGGGAGGGTGGGATAAAAATGTGAATAATAAATAAATAAATAAATAAATTCAAGGTTTTGTCAAGTTCTACACTGTAAGTCTGACACATTTTGTGATAACTGGGTTTTGAATTTCTCTGGAAAGGACCTGCAGGAAGGACCTCCGGTCTATGGTGGCGCGTTGAGCAGTCGCACCTCCTGGACCTCCCGGGGGTGAGGCTGCACACTGGCAGAAAGGGGGGGGGGCGAGGCATCGCACCTCCCCCAGGAACCTGGCGAAAGGCTCCTGGCCAAGGGACTTTCGAGAGGTCACCTCTTCGCCAGCGCAATGCTGGGAAATCGAGGCACTTCTCCATCCCCATGGTCCCTCTGCCGAGTGTCTGTATGGAATTAATGGCGCTGACTGGGACAAGCATGGGAGATCGAGCGGTTAAAACCGAAGGCAAAGCGAGGTCGGATGACCAAATATGAATGTGAGGTGGAATAGAGCAGTTTTTACTAAGCTAAAAGAAAGCTCCCTCACCCCACGGACCAGAGAGTAAAGCGAGCGGGGGGAGGGGCCCCATGCGCATAAACTTCTAAGCGAGAGCGGGGGGGAGCAGAAGAAAAAGCGGTAAAAACTGTTGGAAAGACTTAACAAGGCGCGTACAAGTGTGTGAGCGCATATTCAGACTTTTAAAAGTTTGGCAAAAGTAAACAACCGATAAAGATGGCGGGAAAGAGGACGGAGAAGGAGAAACTTTTAAAAACAAAACTAGCAGAGAGCCCATGACCGGAAGGAACCACTGAGTTGGCTAAAACTATGGCAGAGTCCTTGCGCCCCCTGCTGGAGCAGATGAATAACCTCAAGGAGCAGCTGTCAAAAACGAATGAATGTATCACTACACTGCAGACACAAATCAGCGAGACTTTAAAAATCACGGAACAAACAGCCGAGAAAGTGAAAGAGGTTGACGCCACTGCTCAAAGGGTGAAGAAAAAGGTGCAAAAATTGGAAGAAAAGCAAATCACAACAGAAGAATACCTTCTACAATTACAAATGGAGAAGGCAAGTCTGGTCCTTCGCTTCCAAGGTGTCCCAGAGATTAAAGGAGGGAATCTGAAGGAAACGATGAGCAAAGCATTGGCCCCAGTGACAGATTTGAAGGCGGACTATTTTATGAGTGAAATGGATGTGGTCTACAGGGCCTACCCCACATACATAAAGAAGAATAATCTGCCTGGGGAAATTGTAATGAGATTCTCAAAGAGACACGTGAGGGACTGTATCCTAAGAGCGACGGCGGGGACACCCTTGAAAATTGGGGACAGTACCATTCGAATACTGAAAGATATCCCATTTGAAATAAGACAACGGAGAAAGAAATACAAAGATTTAATTCTTTTTCTTCAAACCAATGCAATCAGCTACAGGTGGTTATATCCAGAGGGCGTAACCTTCAAACTTAAGGATAAGAAAGAAAAGATTGACTCTGTTTCCAGAGCTCGGGATTTTTTGAGAATCCAGCTGGGTGAGCCAGAGGAGGTGGATAAAGAGGAAAAGGACAGTAGGTCCAGTGGTGAGCTGGACTCGGGGTCTTCTGGAGAGGACTCTCTGTCTGAGAAGGGAGCAGCGGCGCCTAAAAGTCCTTACAAACTGCGGAAGAGACAAGATAAGAAAAAGTGAAGATTGAAGGACTCTGAATTGTGTCTTTGATAAGATCTAAAAGGTATAAAAGCAAGTCTGACTAAGTTCATAAAACGAAGCGTTTTAAGAGATGGCATTGTATGAAAGCAATTTGAGGATCTCCTCTCTTGGGTTTTTAGTCAGTAGTGGTTATCTTTTCTTTCTCCCTAAACGTAGTACCCCTCCCTCTTTTCATTGTAGTTTTGTAGTCTTTATAAAAATGCAATTTAAAAAATCACCTTTGGGGGGCCAAAAAAAAGAAAGAAAGAAAGGACCTGCAGGAAGAAAGCAAAAGAATTCCTACCCTATGATCTAAGTGCCTACATATGTAACGGAATCCTATAAACAACATTGCCTTTTGGTGATGAAACAGTGGATGAATTCTATTTCAAATAAGCAAGGAACTGAAAACACACAAGGTAAATGACAACAGCATGCCCCTGAAATTACCTGACTCCAGTAGCATTTTTGCAAACATTGGATTCAAAGGAAACTCTGCTATCCTGATTCCAAGAGGCTCTGTGAGACGACAATATTTATCAAGCCCTGCAATAAAAAGTTACAGACTCAGTGTAGTGCTATAAAATATTTTGAAATTAATTAATTGATTCAGGCATGGTGGGGGGGAGAACGACACATTGCAAAACAACATCAGTTCACCGGGCAAGAGTCCACAAAAGCGCATCGCTCCCCGGCAGTCACTTGTTAGGTTTAAGCCATTTAAACCTAACAGTTGATCAGTGTTGAGTAGTGACCAGTGGCAGTGGCGGGGCAGCTGGTGGAGGGAAGGAAGAGAGAGAAGGCATGTTTAAATGCCTTTCCCTCCCCCCTTGGGGGTGGCTGGGGAAGGGGAGAGAGAGAGAAGGCATTTAAACATGCCTTCCCTTTCCTTCTCCAGCCTCCCTGCTGCGGCAGGGAGGCTGGGGAGGGGGAGAGAGATAGAAGCATGTTTAAATGCCTTCCCTTTCCTTCCAGCCATTAACTGGTCAGTTTCACTCCCTTTAATCTGAGGGGAGTGAAACTGACCAGTTTGATGGCTGGAAGGAAAAGCAAGGCATTTAAACATGATTTCTCCCCCCCCTACCCCCAGCAGCCCCGCCACAGCCAAGAGTCTGGGAAAGGAAAGACAGAGAAGGCATGTTTAAATGCCTTCCCCTTCCTTCCCCAGCCTCCCCGCTGTGGTGGGGTGTGGCTGGGGGAGGAAAAACCACTCAGAAGGCATTTAAACATGCCTTCCCTGTCAGCTGTTAGGTTTAAATGGCCTAAACCTAACATCTTATAGGTGGGGAGTGAAACTGACCAGTGGTAGTGGCAGGGTGCTTGGGAAGGATGAACCCAAATAAAAGCTGAAGAAAATTGGCTTTTGGGGGTGCTGAACATTGGTAGCTGAATACAGATCTCTAATCCGTAATCAGCTTACACTATACCCCAAAAATACCAATAGGGTATTTTTCAGGTATTCGGCTCAGTTTATTCTAAATGCACACCCCTACTGGTTGCATAAATGACAGGAAAAAAATCTTAACCAAAGCATATATAAACAGACAATAAGACTGGAAAGTTCACCCAACTACCATTCTGATAGCTGGTATTATATGAACACCAAATCAAGTTGGTTTCAGCCATTTTTATATAGGCTAGAATAGTCAATGTCCATACAACCAATAAGTTTACAATACAGAGAATGGGAAACAGAGAGGAATATGGTGAATATTCTTATCTTTTAAGGACTGCTTTACTTTTTGGGGATTATTTTGGAGGGAGATTATTAACATGCCTATTCTTAAGAAAAATCCATTTATGGCTTATTACATTTGTCCTCCCCTCCTGCGAGGTAGGTTAGTCTGAGAAAATGTAATTAGCTCAAGGTCAGCTAGCATACTTCCAGGGCACAGTGAAGATTCAAACCTGGGTCTTCCAAATCCTAGTCCAACACTCTACCCACTGCACCACAACATGAAAACCAGATGAAATGTCCACCATAAAACCACCTTATATTTGCAATGCAGTATTTCTGAAGGCCCAGATTTTCTTGTTAGCCTTAAGGACATGATAACAAGAAAAATCTGTGTTAAAACTTTTACTAGATCAGCGCATGTGATTTATGTCTTCTCAATGTGACATATACTTAACACATCTAATGTTCAAGAAACATTTTAACAAGAATTGCATCCACAGAAATCTCTTCCTTATGTCAAGCATGGCTGCATACTTGGCCCAAGTGCAGAATGAAAAGTGATGGGTGGATCCTACTGCTATGTTCTGCTAATGGCAGCGCTTTCCCACAGGGCAAGGAGCCTTCCCGGGATGCAACAAGCTTCTCTTTTAGCATCAACAGAAGTTCCTTTCACTAGAGGAAAATGCTGCCATTAGCGGAAAAGATATATGGGATCCGACCTACTGATAATCCTTTGCAACAAAGAGGAAAAATGTTTTTATTCATATCATTCTGAGGCTTTAAGAAACAGCATCTAGCTTGATAATGGCGTGATGTCTGCTCTTCTAATTACATGTGGTAATATCAACAATTAGGATCCTACCCACCTACACATTTATTTCAGAAACTTGCTTTGGAAAGATGACTAGTCTGATGTTATCTGGCATCTTTACTACAGTTACAAAGAAACAACCTCACCTCCTAATGCATAGAGTAGCTCCAATGCTTGCACCATTGACTGAGCCGGTGGAGGCTGGGAAAGAAGACATTGTAACGATTAGCTCGGGCTGCAGTACAGACGCACAAGACGTTTCATGATCTTTTGTTTAATAAATATATTTCCACATAGCCTGTTTAAAATGCAGTGTTTTAAATGGGATCATCACAAGGGACGAGGGTCGGGACAAAACCAGAATTATTAGGCTCTGGCTGCATCCACTGCTGACCGCCCTCTTCCACAGTAGCAGACACTTGCTACTGTGTGTTGCCCCCCCCCCTTTTCATGCAGTTGTCTTCACTGTGAAACACACTTCATAACATCAGCCCCTTTTACTGTCCTTCATTTATACAACCTTCAGTTTCTGCTATTCAGAAGCTTCTTGTCATAAGGCAGCTTGTGCCAAAGCGATATTGTAAAAAATCTGCACAGCCAATCAAATCTCCAATAGCCAATCAGAATCCTTGCTCAGTAAAAGTCCAACCTCATTCCACCCATTTTCTAAAAATACTTGGTGGGTGCCAGGAAAGGTATTAGAAGGCACATCATGCCCACAGAAGAAGAAGAAGAGATTGGATTTATACCCCGCCCTTCACTTGGAGTCTCAGAGCAGCTTACAAACTCCTTTCCCTGCCCCTCCCCACAACAGACACCCTGTGAGGTGGGTGGGGCTGAGAGAACTCTGAAACAAACTGTTCTCTCTCAAGGACAGCTGTGCCAGAGCTTGTGACTGACCCAAGGTCACATCAGCAGGTGCAAGTGGAGGAGTGGGGAATCAAACCCGGTTCTCCCAGATTAGAGTCCGCACACTTAACCACTACACCAAACTGGCACTACACCAAAATGTCCCACAGGCATCATGGTGGGTGTCCCTGATTTTGCATCCCTATTTCAAAGGATAGTCCCAAGGCCTACAAAACCGACAGCAAATATGAAAACTAATCATGTATTTACTGCTGCATCTAGTACACATCAATGGTGTGGATGTGGTCCATATGAACACAAGTGAAAAGAAATCAGACCTTGAAGGTTAGAATGCAGCCCACACTGCAGACAAGTTAATCATACATCATGAAATATTAAAGAATCTAGTACTTACTGAGAGGAAAGGGAATCTAAGCACATTGTCGATTCCTAAAGCCTTAAGCTGTAAGATGACTGGTGCCAGGTTACTGCGTTGCATCTCTGGAACTGTGGAGTGTGGCAACTTCTCAAAGTCCTCCTCTGTGGAGAGGGCAAAACTCTCAGGTTTTAACACTAATTAGTTAAGTTAAATTTCTACTTTAAAACTGTATAACTCAGATTAAAAGAATGCACAAATCTAGCTAATTTGAATGGTTCAAAAATGCTGAGGCATATACCAGTGTTTCCCTTAAGCCAACTCTTCCACCAAATGTTGCTAAATGGGCTATTTGCATTGTAAAAATGGAACTCACTACTCTCAGGATTTGGGAAACATTTTTACTAGTGTCAAATGTGCACATCAGGGGGCATTACTGGTACAGGCAGAAAGGTGAGAGGCAAAATTCTGCTGGATAAATGCTACTCCACTGTTCTTTGGGTCTAAGCCAACATCATGTAGCCAGACTTGGTTAGTTATGTAGCATCAGGATTTCTTGATCTGCATGCAGTTCCCCAAATGGCTCAAGAAGCATGATTTCACAGCCAACTGACTTAATTTGCCTTGACTGACATCACATAACCCTGCATACCAACTGCATAAAGTTACCATATCATTCTGTTCTCTATGTATACCCCAGTCAGCTAGGTTCACTCATGAGATTAATCCAGGAAGAAAAGAGGAGTGACCAGCACAACAACAACAACAAAAAGATAAAAATTAAGCAGCAATATGTCTTAGTGTTTTTACACAGTTTGTAAGTTGCCCTGAGACTGCTTTGCAGGGAGGGCAGGATACAAGTCAAATAAATAAATAAATATGGAATCAATGGTAAGGAACAGGATTGAAAAACAATGAAAAGCAGAATTAGATACAACATACAAGATGGTATCAGGCTAGCATCATCTGCCTGTTCTATTCCTGACCTTTTCTTAGTTTCTTTTTAATTCATGGTCTTCATATCTTGGAGGACAGAGATTGTATTAAGGAGGACTTGTTCTCTTGAAGACTGTTCAACTACTTCTGAGGTGCTATTGTTTATCATCCATCTAACTATCATCTATCTGGCCCCACTGGTGGGCGCTCTGATGGCACTTGGTTTTTGGCCACTGTGTGACATAGAGTGTTGGACTGGATGGGCCACTGGTCTGATCCAACATGGCTTGTCTCATGTTCTTAGCTATCATAACAAAATCCAAAAAAACACTGCAGGTCAAGCCCGGACACTCAGGCACTGACAAAGACTTGTGACTTGTTCTCAGAATTGATGTACTGCTTAACCTGTCAAAGAATGTAAGTAATAACCATGCTGTTTTGGCTATTCCTGCTTCCAACAGATTCTTAGTTCTTGGAGAGTCCCTTATCACTAATTCCCCATTAGCACCTGTGTCTGACATGGACTTGGATAACTGTCATTATTGCTCAATAATGAAACACAGAACTTCCTTGGAAATTCTTCTTCCAATAGCACAACTACTTTTTTTCCCAGAAGTATTTCTATGTACACAGCCTGTCCCTCAAAATTATTGCTTTCAGCTCAAAACTATAAACAAAAGAATATTTGAGATCGTCCTAGACTTAAAAGGCTTAACCCAGTCTATGCTATGCAGCTTATCAGAGCTGAATAGTATATTGTCTAAAGTGAGTATGTTATCAGCAAAAATGAAGACAGTAGGCAAATCCTGCATTTAGCAGGGGGTTGGACTAGATGGCCTGTATGGCCCCTTCCAACTCTGTGATTCTATGATTCTACAATTCAGTATAATCACCAACATGCAATGGAAAAGGAATAACTGAGGGGGGAAACCTACAAATGTCTTCTTCTTTTTACATACAATTCTCCCTACCCTCCAACTTTGCCATGAAAATTCTCTAGGACTTTTGACAGCATGAGTGCTCTTCCTGGTCAAACAACAGTCACAGAGGATTGAATATATTATGGATCGCAAATCTCAAACACATCCAAGACAATGATAAGGTCTCTAAATATTGAAAAACCATACAAAACCAGACACTCCATCACTCGGCAACTCTACCTGTGTAAAGTCTGTAGCATTTTCCCGAGCGGTTCCTGCCCGCACGCCCTGCCCTCTGGTTGGCAGATGCCTTTGATACGGGGACAACCACAAGACATTCAATGGCAGTTTTTGGATTATAGGCACGGAGCTTCACAAAGCCACAGTCAATCACAAATGAAATCCCATTAATTGTGATGGATGTTTCTGCAATATTGGTGGCTACAATTACCTAAGAGGAACAGAGAAAACCAATTTACTTCTAATTCCTTATGCGTGCTGACTGACATACAATAACAGCCAGAACAGCTTGAGAAGCAAGGACAGAAATATGCAGTAATAATTGTAAAGGGTGGGGAGATTGCAGTAAAGGACAGATTTTTACAACATTGGAACAAAATTGATAAGGAGGAATTTCCTAGGGTTGATTAGGGAAACAGCAACAACACTTGCCGTCAAAGCTGTGTGAAGAGAAAGATGGAGGCTTGGCTGGCTGCAAGAAACAGTATACTGTTTAATATCAGTCAGAGTAAGTGCAAGTTGAATTGAAGGGATAGTTCCATTAGTTCTTATTTTAAGGCAATACCGTAAGATCTAGTCTACATATAATGAACTGGAGGAATGAACAGCCTTGCTGTAAGGATGGAAGACTTGTAAGGATGGTGAAGACTTGTAAGTAACTTTGAAAATACCACTTCCAGTAAAACGTTGGAAGATGTGGCTATCCTATTACACAGGAATCCCACAAACAAGGCCTCTAACAGTCACCACTGCTAACAAGCATGACACCATCTTAACTCGCTTTTATGAAAACAGCGTTACCTTTCTGACATTGTGAGACACTCTCTCAAACACCTTCATCTGCTCAGAAGCAGGCAACCCAGCATACATAGGGAGTACACGGAGGTGTTTCTTCATCCCTGTGCGAGCAAGGATCCGCGCCTGTTCTATCAGCATAGAAACAACCGTTTCCACTTCCTCCTGGAAAGGAGACAGGATCAAACAAGACACATTAAGCTTCAAGAGCATCGGGAGCAGGGGTGGGAGGAGCTGAACCATGCTTCTATGGTCCTTTCCCTGGTTTTATCAGAGTTCAACTTGGCATACAGTACCTTGCATTTATCCCTGGTTATAACAGCATCTGTTTATTCTGGGACAAGTGTGGGGCGAAACGAGGGTGACCTCAATGTAATGTGAAAACAAAAAAATACCCCGAGATAATTACAGGGGTGAACTCGAGTGTAGTGTAGAATGCAAGTTCAGGGAACCAGGATTTAAGGTCTAGTGTGGAAAGGACCTATAAGACATTCATCTGAAATTGGTTAACTTGTCATTGGCTGCCCTTTTTAGATTCTTAACACAAGATCTGAGGCAGATAAAAAGACGGGATGGTCTTCTCAATACTCAGGGTTACATTTCATCAGATTAAAAATACTATTGCACATTTCTTTCTTAAAAGACAGTGTAACAATCAGCACCAGAACCCTGATTTGGAGATCTGTTTCACTATGAACAAGCAAATAGCGAAAGAGGAAATACCAGTCACCGTCCACCAGGTTGTGTCTCTCAACTTTTGTTGTCATTCTAAAAAGCTGGGCTTTGAATTCCCCTGCAACAGGACCCAAGAGTCCCAGGAGCTATCTTAAGCTCAATGGATCTCAGTGTGGGCCAGTTCCAGGAGAACCTCTTTTCAGATTACAACAGAAAGGGGAAGTGAGAGTCACGCACCCTTAATGTTATAGTCTCTTTATACCATACGAAGCACCTTTCTTTCTATTACACGGGTTAATTAGATTTTCTCCATATCCCTAGCTGCAAAAGGAGGACCATACTTACAGCAATTCAAACTGATTATCTAAACGTTCTGGATGTCCCACATGCATTTCAATTAACTAGGATGTACCTAATTAAATCCATCACTCTCCCCTGTCATTCAGTAAAATAGTCCAGGATGACTTTTCTTCCTAAGGGCATTTCTCTACTGGTGTAAATTTGGTCATCAGGCAAACTGCAATGCACTTCCAAGCACCACAATCTATACTGTACCCTGTAGTAGAGTTGTGACCTCCTCCACTGCATAAACAAGAATGTGAAATGCAAAAATGTGAAACGTGAAAGTGGGCACAGTACGTAAACAGCCAGGAATAAAGCTGGTGGAGGCCTCCTCATCATTCCCTCTTTGTCATGCTGCTGTTCTAATCAATTAAACTGAAAATGAAAGGGCAAGCAACAACAGTACAGACATGCACAAGGCTGGCAAAGCAACAAGGATTGAACAGAAAAGACGATTTCTGAAAGAAGTCAGAGAGGAATGCTTGATTTCCACATTAGAAATGTTCACTAGACTGTCTGAACTGAAATCAGATTAAGCTGCTGTTACAACACAGCCATACTAGAACTTGGAAAACATTCACTAATGAGTCAACAATAGTTTACAGTGCAATCAAGCAGAGTTATACCTAAGTCCACTGACTTCAATGGACTTGAAGAGGTTAACTTTGTTTATGACTACACTGTTAGTACCTGTCCAAGACAAGCCAGATTCACACAGTGGTACTTCATATTTTAGCATGATTCTGAACAAGAACAGAGGACCCCAACTGGTATTTGGTTTGCTCTCAAACTTGCATAAATTTATCATATAAGCAGCGCTTTCAGCTAGGCCAAATCAGAGTTCTTGCATGTAGTAAAATTAACATAATATCTTACATTAGTGTAACAATTTCAACAGGACAGAAACGTTTCTTTTGTGTCTACCTGGCCAGTTAAAAATGCCAGTATATCTCCATCGCCTTCTGTCTGATGAATTTTCATGACTGTTTCCACAGTTGATTTTACATAATCTGGAACAGGACTGTTGGAAAAAACATACAAATGATCCTTAAGTACAGCAAAGTATGACTTCATCTTATCACCAGAAGGCAAACAAGAATAAAATGGTTAGCTTTCCATAGGTACTATAGATCAATTGGATACTTATATCATCCAAGATACACAATCACAAAATTAAACCTGCCACTCACTAGTCCTTCCGGAATCCAGAAGTACTTCACATTTATATATAAAAAACAATTATTTTTAATAATTTATTTCAGAATAATAGAAACAGGTTCAATAAACAGATTATTTCAGCATACAACAAAGGCTTGATTGTAAACAATCTAGCAGTATTGCTGTTTTATTTATATTACTGCATTTATGCCTGTACAGGCATTCTGCAAATGCATATTTAAATGCTTCTTGTTCCAAAATATCATACTATAAGTCTGCAATCTAAGGGCCTGCAAAAAAAAGCCTAGGAAGGCTCTAGCATAAAAGCTTTAGATCTGGCATTAACTTGGCACAAAACAGGGCATTTTAACTTAACCATAACGCTACCTATGCTCTGAATCAGACATGAAGGTTAATCAGTGACTGCAACATCGAGGGATGACCTGCTTATGTGAATATACAGTAGCAACTTTGTAGCAGAACTTTCACATCAACCTCAAACACAGTGCTCCCCAAAGGAATCAGGGTCATATATTCAGCTTCAAGTTACAGTAATCAAATGTAGGAAAAAATCAAATTATATTCGTGGATGAGTAAAGCCAGTCCTATGTAAACACAATAGAAGCCACCTTTCAATATGGGATCCACTAGCATCAACCGCTACCCCCTATATTCCTACCAAAGATTTGGTGTTTCCTTAAGAAACGTATATGTATGTAATGTATATGTATATTACATTCAAGTAGAAACCATAGAGATAAAAAAATCAAATCTTCAACTGTATCCATAATATTTAGGCAACCCATACCAGTATCCAAGATATGGAAAATAGATGACTACATTATTGTACCCATTTATACATACATACCAACTTCCTAGACTGCTTCCTGGTGCTAGCCTATAGAAACCTCATACCACTAGCCCCAAAGATTTCACAGAATTGTTTTGCTGTTTTAGATGCCACTGACTACCTTTTCCAAAACATTTTACCACCATCCCTCAAGCAAACAGCAGTGGAGTTACAACAATGGAAAAGATGCACAAACATATGATTATCCACCTATGACACCCACATTTCCTTGCTCAGCACAAGCGCAAAAGCAAGCACTGTGTGTGCAGGGGTAAAAAAACGAGCCCACTTCCGCCATCGGACCTGTCCATCTCCTTCTGTGGAGGAGAGAGGGCACGAAGGTGCTGCCAGGTTTGCCCATATCCCTTCTGTGGAGGGGGAAGGGAAGGACTAAGATTCCAGGGGAGGAAAAGCATGAAGATTCCACCGAGTCCCCGTAGCACTCGTCTGAAGTCTGCTCCAGCCAGCCGGTGCAGAAGGGGACGGGGGAAGGTTCCCGAAGCCCTCCTCCACTGAAGTCCGCGCCTGTTGCTCACAAAATAGGAGAAAGACACATTCAATTGGAAAAAAACCACACAGATTTAGGTTTACATCCTTAATGTGCTGGTCCCAAAGCCACATAAGACAATTGTTTAAAAGAATACCTATGGTCCATATAATAATCCCTTCCACCCAGCCTTTTGTAAAGTAGCTGGGTATCAAAGATACAAGCTCTTCTAGTCACCACTTACGAGTATTAAACAGGAACAGACCTCTGAATGTAGAAGACATCCACTGGAAATGTTCGCCCTTCCACAGTAAGGATCATGCTGGTATCTTTGCTTGGGTCACTGGTCTCATTTTGGTTAAAGAAATCCCTAAATTTCTACAATAAAAATAACATTTTACAAAAATTAAGAATGTATTTAAAAGGAAGTAAACACTTGCAGAATGCCAAAAATACAGGTAGGAAGACTTTAAAATTTAATGCTTTGGATCCAGCCAATTGTCAGCAGAGAGGATTTTCCCCATCTCTCCACCCCCCTTTTGACATATGGAAAGATGATTCGTGGTATTGTGGGACCCACATGGACAAAGAGCCGTATGGGTTGGAGGTTGCAGTGAAAGTGAGGAAAGAGACACAAATCATCCCTCCTCCAACAGCAAAACTAAACTAGCAGAACAGGAAGTGGCTGTTGAGTCCCACCCAATGAAATGTATTGAAAGTCACCCACAGTGCACTCTGGGGGATGTGAAATGGTATAGTATAACCTGGTCTTGGAAGCTAAGCAGTATTGGTACTTCAATGTAAGACCATGAGACCATCGAGGAAGACTTTGCAGAGGAGGCAATGGCAAAATACCTCTGCTTCTCACTTGCCCTGAAAAACCCTATGCTGACTTGACGACTTTACACACACACACACGGCACATTGTACACTCCCGCAGGAGGCAAGAAGAATGAACAGGAGCTGCACAAAGGCATAGTTGTGATTTTAAGCAACCCTCGTTCATTCTGGTGAGGCTTGGCCTCACCAAAGTTATGTTCTCGGTAGATGGTGCCTCTGCACTTGAGTGTGTTGCTCAGGCTACTTAGATCAGCATTCTGAAAGACTGATTACACAGTCTCATTTTCTGCCAGAAAGGAAAGCTATACCTCTGCATCCAGTGTAGCTGATGCTACAATTAGACGAAGATCCCCTCGTTTCTTCTGAACCTATGAAAAAAGTCAGAAATTGCTATAATATGGTCACATGTCAAAAATGACATCACACATATGAGATATGCTAGACTTATTTGCAGAGAAAGCAATTATTTATATGATCATGTTTTGTTCTCAACTCGTCTGGAGAATGCATCACTCAGTACCATTTCATGCGTCATAAACCAGCCCTGGTACAATCGTTTAGGTATGTGAACACAAGTTTCTACAAAGAGGTGTGTTATCCTTGAAGGAATCCCCACAATTAGATTCTTGCTTAAAAAATTAAGTAAGCCTTAGGACAAATTAACAAAATGCTTCATTAAATGTTGCCAGGATACTTTTGTCAGGAACGGTCAACCAATGTAGTAATATGTACTTTGTGTTTTCCAATGTTATTCATGCCAAAATAGTGCATGTTACAAAAACCTTATTCCACCTGGCAAGTTTTAAAGCAGCAAGCATCCACTGCTGATATCTCTTACCTACTGGGGAAGGGGGAAAACTTTACTCTGTGGCCACAGAACGGAAAATGGCATACTGTAGAATCTGTTGCAATAACAGGTAGCTAGAAAGAGGTTCTGAGCAAGTTTCAAGACCACAAGGACATCTGATTTATTTCAAGAGAAGCAATTCAATGATTATATAACAATAAATATATAGGTAGTATAGGTAGAGAGTTCTAACCTTTTTTAATAAGCCAATGGCAATGTCTGTATACAAGGTTCTTTCATGGGCTTCATCCAACATGATCACACTGAATCAAAGCAAAAAGAACAAAGTTCCATATGAGGTGTTAATTAATACTGAAATTAAATCCTCTTGTGAACAGCACATTAGCAAACGTAAACTACTGTATAATAGCTACCATACAGTCAATTATGAATGTGGCATGCAAACAAATCTTCAAAGTCACAGATTTATGACCCACAAACTTACAATCTCAGCAGAGCTGCAAAAGCCACAGACAAAACACTACAAACATTGCTAATTCAGGAAAGATGAGTAGCGATAACAGAAGATCAGAAACGATTTAAGCTCTGTGCTTTCTACAGTCAGGTTCAGGAATCAGGACATGGAGAGGGTGTGGACTCAGTGCATCCACACGTGTGGTAAGGACTGTCAAACTCTGAGACACATTGGGATTGGGGACAATACAATCAAACTGTAAAATTGTGCGTGTTCTATTCCAACAGACTTTAATTAAAATAATACATAATATACAGTCATCCTTGAACATGGCCGCTTTCCAGAGTACGAAGCAGATGGACAGAGCCTTGTTCCAAAAAGTGTAGTTTCAACCATGGGAGATGTAAGGTAATGACGAAGGAAAGAAAAGGTAACTAGAGGGAACAGAAACAAGACAGGTTCACATCATCACCAGTATGCACAGCTCAAAAGCCGTCTTCAGCCTGTTTACCTGTATCTTGTTAATAGTGGATCAGCCATCATTTCTCTCACCAGCATCCCATCAGTCAGGAACTAAAGCAAATAACAACAGCGTACTATTTAGTCTGAGGATACCCCTATATAACAAATCCATTGTTTCTTTATTATTTATTATTTTAGATTTATATCCCGCCTTGACTGCCATGCAGGCTCAAGGCGGCATACATGGACTAAATACAATAAAATACAATACATAACAATAAAATTAGACCGTAGTATGCATAAAGTGCGATTAGTGCAGATGGCGTTTCCTAAGGTGGGCTGATATAGGTGGGCCAGTTATTGTCTATAACATAACAAGGGCCTTGTTGGTTCAATTTCCAGCACTCATTCCTCAGTGGCAGCTCCTAATCAAAGACCTGTTGGAAGAGCTCCATTTTACAGGCCCTGCGGAACTGTAATAAGTTCTTTGTCAACTGGTCTCCCCCCAGCCAAAAAATCTTGAAGGTACTTGTACTATTACAGTATCTTTTTTACTTGAAAAACTGGTTGAAGGCAATTTCTTCAAGTATGTTACCTTAATTCTTGTAGCCTGTGGGTCAGTGCAATCATCAAATCGTATGCAGTATCCAACTTCATGACCAAGCAGGGCACCCTTCTCCTCAGCTACCCGGCCTGCAATCTAGTAGAAAACAATTTTAAATACCAAACGAGTTTCTGCTTTACTAGACTTAACATAATGCTGAACTACTGTGTTAGATATTAGGTGAAATGCTACAAAAACAAAAAGCTGAATGGAGTTAAATTAATCCAACTGAATATTACTTATTTTCCTACAATCACAATTACTACATCTTTCAATCCTCATATGATGTTGTCCAGCTTCTTTGGGGGATGGCTGAAGCTGTAATTACGCTGCTTATATAGAAGAGAATAGATTTTTGCCATCCTCTACCCAGGTCTGCCTTGATGAGTTACTTCAGAATTACATCAAGATGGGTAGCTGTGTTAGTCCGTCTGTAGCAGTAGAAAACCCCAGAGAGCCCTGAGGTTGGGGTCCCAGAACCGAGTGACCATTCTGGGCCCCAAGGATGCCAGGCTTGCCACCACTAGGGCCAGGGCGTTCTCAGTGGCGGCTCCGTACTGGTGGAATGAGCTCCTGGAGGAGATCAAGGCCCTGCGGGATCTTGTGCAGTTCTGCAGGGCCTGCAAGACGGAACTCTTCCACCAGGTTTTCAACTAGGAGCTGCCCCCACTACTACCAACAAGCCGGCCCGTAGTTTTAACATCTGGCCTCCACCACTGTGCTCAGGAAGACCACTGAGTGGCAAATTGTTTGGTTGTATGGTATTTCCAGCTTGCCATCTTATGTACCCAATGTATCAGCACTAGCACTTTATGAGTTTATGTTTTACTGTATTTGAAATTTTAAACTGTTTTTATGTGAATTGATGGTCATTATAGACCAATTATGTAAGCCGCCCTGAGCCTGCTCACGGGGAGGGTGGGGTATAAATTAAATTATTAATAAAAATAATAATTGGATCTATACCCCACCCTTCACTACCCAAAGGTGCCTCAGAGCGGCTTGCAAACTCCTTTCCCTTCCCCTCCCCACAACAGACACCCTGTGAGGTAGGTGGGGCTGAGGGAGCTCTGACAGAAACTGCTCTTTTTCAAGAGCAGCTGTGCCAGAACTATGGCTTGTCCAAGGTCATCCAGCCAGGTGCAAGTGGAGGAGTGGGGAATCAAACCCGGTTCTCACAGATTAGAGTCCGCGCACTAAACCACTACACCAAACTGGTCCAGTGATGCCATCTTGGAGTCATTCACTGGCTCATCCTCCAATGTAATACATGCCCATCATGTGTTAACAACTGCCTTTCTACCCTCTACACTGGACAAACACAAAAGAATAAAAGTACACATAGTAGATCCTCACCATTCACAGGGGCTCCATTCCCAATCTAAAAATATTATGAAGCAGTAGCAAACTACCAAATTTCCCATAAATTATAATGATGGAATTATTATGATGATGGGACAGTGTGAATAAAAGCATGCTGCAGTCTACATCACGTGATCAGACCACAAATAAGTGAAATTGTGAGCCACAAATCTGCAAATGGTGAGGGCCTACTGCAAATCTGACATTAAAAACTGCCATATTCAGAAACTAGTGGGGGGATATTTTAATCTTCCTGTGCATTCTATTGCTGAACTAAAAGTTACAGTTTTCTTACAAAGGAACTTCAAAGGGAGAATTCAATGTGCAATTACCTAATTAGAATTCATAGACAATGTAATCCTCACCATCTGAATAGGGACTTCAGATTCTTAACTCACTACAGATATTAATATTTTGCATACCCTACCTATTACTGATGTTAATTATTTTAGTTATGCCTCTGTAACTTCCCACTGCATCTGCTTCCTCATTTGATCCTGCACTAGGTTTTACATTTTGCCTATCAACATTTGAGAATACCTCACACCCATTTTGAGGGAAGTAATTATTCTTTAAATTGGACCTTGTTTTAAACCAGGTTCTCATTGTAACATCCCCCCTTTCCCTATCAAACAACAATCAGGAGTGTCTCTCATTCACTCCCTGTGAACTGATTACTCCTTGGATTGAATCTTGTTTTTGAGCCAGCCTCTCTTTATAAACATTTCCCATCCCACCTATTGCATATATGAATCAGACTGACGAATTTACCTTCCTATGTATCTGATGAAGTAAGCTCTAGTTATGCTGGAAGATGTTTTGTCAGTATTTAAGGTGCCGTTGGACTCCAGCTTTATTCTGCTGGTACAGACTAACATGGCTACCCATTTAGATTTATCTGCTTATACAGTGACACCAGCCTAACTTCAGTCTTTATTTGAGAACTCTGCTAACATAACTGAAGGTTGGAAGTGCCTAAACATATCAGAAACTTTGGCACTTCACTGCAACATGTGCAGGCAGGGTATTTACAATATCTATTACTTCTCAGCTATTACTTTGGCTGGATCCTAGCCTACCAGCTGTTAGTCCAAGATACTGAAGCAGCTATTCTAGAATAACTTCCCCGTATGCTTGCATGTATACCTGGGCTCCTCAAAGGCTCACTAATAATCCCACCTCCTCCCATGGCTCACACATGCAATGGCCTGGTGAATGGCTAGAAATGGGAAGGGGGGGAGTGAATCAAGATTACATGCTTTGATTTCCAGCTATATGCATTTGCTGTGAACTATGCCACCTGCTGACAATCCATACATATTTTTTAAAAATAGGGCTCTGATGAAGCTCAGATGATTGGAGGCACAGCATACACTAAAATACGGGTAGCTATAAACCTACATTTTTAAAAGAAATCTTGCAAACCAGATCAGCTGCCTGTGAAAAATGAACACTGCAGCAGCTGCTCTGATGTTACCTAGACTCAAGGACAGAGGTTTTAGGTTAACATTTAGAGCCGCCTTGTATTTCAAGTACATCATCTCAAATCTCTGATGCTTCTGTTAGATTTCTGATTGGGCCGCTTTGGCAATTTACTGCATATTACAACCTTCCTCAAGTAGCTCTCTTTCAGGGCTTACCCAGACAATCAGTGAATGCACATTCCAACCATATTCTAGCCTCTGAATTACAATCTCACCAAGTCCACATTCTAAAACAGCAGTATAATGATCAAACCAATCATGGATGAGGGAAGGGATTAACAGATGAATAGTCTTGGAAAACAGCCGTGTCATCATTCACTTCATACAAAAATTATTACAGTATGTATTCATTCTGAAGGAATACACAGCCTTCAAAAACTAAAAGTAAAGCAAAGGGTTAAGGAAATAACAATTAGTGCAAGACAAAGAAAGCTGTCTTACAGGTGTACACCTTTAAAAAAAGCTACATGACTGCTTCCAAACTAGGATGGTACAGAAGGTAAACACTTGGCCTTTAAAGCAGTATGGCGTTTGTTGAGTTAAAAACTTTGGAGTATGATAAGTGGAATGTCTTTTTAAACAAGGTAGAAGCAATTGCTATTCAAACACACATGGTATATATCATACCAAGATTTTTCAGCAGTTTTGCTTTCTAAACGCTAACCGCTCTCAAGTACTTTGTCATGATGCAACGTTTTTATTTGATGAGTAACCCTTCATTTTCAAGTAACACCTATATAAAAGAAGACTACAAAGTCTCCTGAAAAAGTTTGCCATTGCCTTCCTCTGCATAGCAACCCCAGTAATTCCTTGCTGGTCTCCCATCAAGCACTAACTGTAGCCAAACTTGCTTAGTTTCCAAGCTCTTATGAGTTTGGGCTACTGGGGCTGTTTGCACGTAAGCAGTAATTTCCCCTGCTCTTTTTATCTCCAGGTATAAATTTGGGCATTGCCAGAGGTGCAACTACTTGGGTACAAGCCAAAAAACACAAACCAAAGGACCTTTGATGCACAGCTCATGCCCTGTGACACTGAGTGAGCTGGCCCACTGGATTCAAGACCAGCCTAAGTTATGTACTTGGTTACTTTCTGTTTGATTTATTTAAATTGTATTTTTGCAATTGTATTTTTATTAATGTTGTAGGCCACTTTGGATCCCCTTCAGAGAGAAAAGCGATAAACTAATAATTTTGAAGGAAATATCAATGAGCATTAATGAGGCTATTCAAGATTGGTAGAGGACAAGAGACCCTCAACTGTGATGAATAACATATGGCCCAAGACTTGGAGTATCCCAGAGCTTTTGTTACTGTTGGTTAGAAACAGTGGTTTCCATTTTAAAAAAGAAAAAAAGAAGCCTCTCTTTCCTAAATTAGCAGAAATGGCTTTGAAAATGAGCAGCTTCATTCTGGTTTGTTTTAGAGCCCAAGAACTTCTAAATTCACACCCCAAGATTTCTACAGGCATTAGATTCTTTTCATCTGAAAGTGAGTTTTACAAAGTTATACATGTCTATCAGCTATATGAGAGAAATCTAACATGGCCATGAAAATGATAAGCAAATTATACTTAAAGCACACATTTTGGCCTCCAAATAGCACTCACTATTTGCTGCTAGTCTGCACTGGCAAGCAGCTACCAGCTTCTTATCTTTCCACTGTGGTCTCAAATCCAACCATGGTTTCACATGGCCACTGCATCAGACTTACATTTTAGATTGTGCAAGGCAGACACAAATCTACACAACTGCTCACATTACAATCAACTCCTCATACCTCTGCTGTGCCAATTCCTTTGTTCTTAAACTACGTGCGCTTTCTACAAGACATTAACAATCAGGTACGAGATGGACAGAACAGTAATAAAGAAACCTCCACCAAACCCCACTGCTGATCCACACAGGACTTCAGAACAGGTCACTTATAATTCATATCAAGCAAAGATCTAGCAGCATAAAAAATAGACCTAAGTTCCTAGTATAGTATAGTATGACCTACAAGTCAATGGCTGACAGACTGGACTCTTCATGAATCTCAGAAGGATTAGAAAATCACTTAACTGTGCTCTGGTTTGTGCTAAAACTTGATAAAACTCTTTTTCAAATATTAAATGTTACAATACTGTTTCAGCCATCGATATATTTTCCAAAACAAAACAATAACCTGTAGTCAATCCAGACATTTTGAACGGGAAGTACTCACTGAAACACAAGCAACTCGCCGAGGCTGCGTTATTCCCACAACTCTTCCTTCAGCAGCCCACCCAGCTTCTGTTAAATACTGTAATAGAGCAAGGGGAGGGAGGAAAATATTATTATAACTATTATTATTCTTAAACTGAGTCAATCTCTGTTTTAACAACTTCCTTTTTCTCCATTTTGGAAGAGTCAAATGAAAGCTATAAACCTTTCCTATTTGTCTCCATAGCCTAATGAAACAGGTCAACATATATTTACCAGTATTAATAAAACCATCTCAACTGAAAAAAATATTTTAACAGACTTACAACTGACTATCTCTCAGCCTAGCCTATTTCACAAGGGTGTCACATTATAACAAAATGCTGTCAAGTTTTAATGCCCAGTATGTTAATCCCAGACAATCACTGTAACTATTTGCAAATGTCAATGTTAAATAAAATTCAAATCAGTGGGACAGGGGAGAAATTGTGTTTTCAGTTTGCATCTCTGCCATAAATTGTAACACTGACTGCTATTCACATTTGTAGCACAAGATCCAACCAAAACCCTGAATTTTAAGCCTCCTGAATTTCAATGGAAGAGAGCTAAGTATGTGCCTAATTTGAAACCAATGAGAATTAAGCAAGATTAACACTGGATCAAGCATCTTCTGTAGAGAAATATATTAATCAAGCTGGACACTAGCGAGGACTTGTAGAGAGCATCTCATTCCCTCCTCCCTTACTCTTTTCTCTTTCTCTTTCCTGAAAGCCCCCACAGTCTCCCTCCTTTTCCTGCTTCTTCTTTTCTTTCCACCCACCAGTCAACCTATCTTTATCTGCCTTCGTCTTAAGCATTCTCTCCTTCTGTCAGCTTCTCCATGGACAAAGTCTGGCCCAGTTGCACAGAGCCAGCCACTGAACTGTGTCAAGTTCTGTGGTACTGGCTGGGCTCACTTGTGTAGAACAGAACCTGCAAGGATTTGTGGGGGCATCTCATTACCCCCCCCCCAAAAAAAAACCCATCCACAAATATTTCCTATGTCCCTCCTTGTTGCAGCTCCCATAACCTCAACTTTTCCAGTTTTTTTCTCTCCTTCCCATCTACCAAGCAACCTACCTCTTATCTGGCCCTCATCTTCAGGTGTGTTTACTTCATATGTGTCCCATCTTTCTCCCCAGTGGGGAACCTAAGCATCACTCTACCTACCTCCATTTTATCCTCACAACAACCCTGCAAGTTAGGTTATGTTGAGATTGTATAACTGGCTCAAAGTCACCCAGTAACCTTCCACAGCAGAGTAGGGATCTGAATCTGGGTCTCCCAGATCCCAATGTGAAACTGTAACCACTGCACCATGCTGTTTTTTGTGGGGCGGCTAGTGTTGAACAGCTGTAAGCAGCCAGGCCTGCGTAAGTCATGCCCTTGCATGGTAGGAAGTTGCCCATCAGTTGCAGCCAAAGAGTCCCCCCTCAAAGGCTAAAAAAGACCTGGAAAGCTCTTCCCGTCTGCCTTTCACCAACAGGAATCAAGACTAGAAGTCTAGTAATATTACTGTGTTTGCCAGCAACAGCAGCAGAGGGCATTCATTTTTTTAAAAAAAGTTACAGGTTCTATCATTTGAGAGGAGGTTACCCCCATTTCTTTATTTATTATTAAGATTTCAGATTTTTCTGCAGACCTGGGGCTTTTCTCAGGTTTGTAGAATGATCTGTCTTGTGTGTCCATGGCTTTCACAAGTATCCACAGTTGGAGCCATATTAAGAATTAGATATATTGGTGATTATTTTTGTACTCACTTGAGGAATCTGTGTGCTTTTCCCACATCCTGTTTCTCCAACAATTACCAGTGTCTGATAGTTCTCTACCAGGTAAAGGATGTGATTTCTAAGCTGAAATAG